GGTTTTGCAGGGTGAAATATCCGGATGGTGCCTCTGCTTCCCCTCGCAGTGGCCTTGCCAGTGGGCCGTGCAGCTTTCCCACATTGAGCAGAGGGCCCCTGAAGAATATTTTTTTATTTAAGCAACTTTTTGAGCAGTACTATAAGCAGCCTGTAAATAGTCTTTCCCCCAGACCCCAGGGTGTCAGGGGCTAGAATGATACCTGTGGTACAATAGGCAGAAAAATGAACAAAAGACTGACCTGTTCATGAGCAGTTCACATGAGACCATCGGCCAAACATGCAAAAATAAATATTTAAGTACTTAGAAGGCTAAGCAGCTATTTGTGGAATTTTTAAAAACACCTAATGCCTACCTCTTCAGCCCCTACTTTCTAGAAAGAATTATTTTCTTTTCTCTATGCTGTTTTTTTAATTTCTGGACATTTTTCCTGTAAATAATGATCAAAGTCTTTTTCTTTCTGGTATTTTTTCTCTTATGTTTGTCAAAAAAGTTGAAAAGTTGTTTGATACAGCATCTTAGAGTAGAAAGCCAATGTTCAATACACTGTATCACACCTTTTCTTGTTGTTGTTGGTTGTTTTCTTCTTTAGTGCCCACCTGTCTTGTTTGGGACTGGGTCCAAAATCCCAGTGTGCTGCATGAATTTGATCGCTCCCCAAATATTGCAAGTCTTTTAACTGAACAGGGTTAGGACTCTGGGAAGGGCTCAGGGAAACTTTTCTATCTTTGAAGACAGTGACTCGCCTTCCCAAGTTGAGCCTGAGATGAACAGTTCTGAAGACGCCTTTCTCCTGGCAAACCTGAGCCCCGCAGGCTTTACTGGCAGTGACTAACAATGTCCCAAAGTCTTCACCAGCCGGTTATGTTCTTTAGTCTTGTAACATGTAGATCAGAATCACATGCTTGACCCAAAAACTTGTTTATCTAGTAACTCATGAGCTGAACCAATTTGAAAGCAGATCCAGTTCAATCACATTTGCGTGGGCTCACTCGTTCCATGCTGATGGGACGGCATTCACTTCTGTAGCAAATTATGACACAGAAGCTGAAGAACACTCAGTTTAGGTGGGACTGTCTGCAGAAGGTTTAGTCAAAATTTAGTGGAAAGTATTTTACAAATGTAGATGCACTTTCCTAGGTATCCTCTTATAGACAAACCTTGCACGTGGAAGACCAACTTTTGCTTTTGTGGTCTTTCTTTTTGGCCACGCTAGTGACTAGAAAAACTCGAGTGGATCTTTCGGACATGTATTACACAGGAGCTGTTGAGCCAGACAACTGGAATTGATTTTTCATTTCTTTTTCATCTACCTGAGCCATTGCGTGTAACTTATCTTCTTTAATAACCAAGTTCTCTTTGCAGTCAGTTCATCACCTTCCATTAAAGGCAATTCCAGCATCTCCATCTTTGAAGAAGAAAGAGCCCCTAATATTCCTCCAAACCCTTTCTGTGCTTTAGAGATATCCTGCAAGCACATCTGTTGTCTCTCCTTCATATAAACATCAGTTCCCTCCTGATCCTTCACAAGGATGGAAGAAGTTCATACATTTCCCTTTACCACAAGCTCAGTTGCCTCAGGGGCTAAGAAGGTCACAGTTTCGTCATTTCTGCTCTCCACTAAGCCCACCTCTTCTGCTTCACACATTCGCACAAGCCAGACATTTTGAGGTACGTTTCCCAGCCTTCCAATGAGAGCTTGGTTGTCTGCCATGCCCCTTACCATGAGAAGATCAAACATCTTCCCCTGTTTTGGTGTTTTTCACTTTCCCAGTACCAACATGAGCAGCGAGCCCTGCTCTCTCCCCATCCACTCTTGTAATGAGGAGGAGTTTTCTCATGCTCCCCCTGCCACCACCATGCCCAGTTTATCTCATGTCTGCTCTCTAGGCTCATCATAGAGAGTCCAGCTCACTCTGTGCTACAGGAATGCAGAGTAATGAAAAATAGTTGTGTTAGGTATGGGTAACAAATTGCTTTTCTGCAAACAGAAGAATAAGAGCCACTTAAGAAAGAGCATAACTTTTAATAGGAGTTACATTTTTTTTCTTGACACACCATGGTAGTTTCTGAACAAACATATATATATTTTTCACAATCTTTTTCTGCTTTTTTCTATTGTCCATTCAGTATGATGAAACATGCTACAGAATAATTCTTTAAAAAAAAATCAACACAAAAATCCACAGTGATTGCTTTTTTCATAGGAAACTTCAGCAATCAGGAATCTGAATAGTTGCAGATGCCCACTGGCATATTATAGACAGCCTGACCTTTCCAAAGCAGGCACCCAAGACTCCTCTGCTCCTGAGCAACACGAGTGATCCAGAAATACCTGACTGAACCACATGAGTTCAGCTGCAGCATGGAGGAAACTTGTTGGTTCCCCATCTTTTACAAAGCTTCATCAAAAGTTTCTCCTGGTGCCGCTAAGTCAGATGATTATTAGACCCACCAAAGTGGAAATAAGAGTCAAGGGTCAAGGGTCAAGCACAGGGAAATGAACACTTTTCAGCCTGGTGTATACATGAACTAATAAATCTGCTCATTCTCTTACCATACTGCTAGGTAAGTTTTATTATTTCAGAGAGGGAAATTGGAGAGAGAAGTTCCTCAAAAGCATTGTATCAATAGTTATCAAAACTTAGGTCTTAGATCATCGTCCTGGCTCTTGGTCCTGCACTTACACCACCAGTTTTCTTCTCTTCATTTGCCAACAAAACAGTGGAGGTTCTTGGCATGCTACCAGAGTCAGTGGATTGAGACTGAGCAGATGCTCACAGTAATATAATTTTCAAACATTTATAGTTCTAGAAAAGTAGGATACATGCAGGTAGAAGCACTACTTGATATTTTTGAATTGCCAGCTCTGTACAAATTAAGAGAGTCTGTAATTAGCACTTGAAACACTCTTTAAACTTCCAGAGTTATTCAGTAACCCACAGAAGTCCCATGCATTACTCAGAACAGAGGGAAGATGGTTCATCTGTAAAATTGCTTATCTTGCTGATCCCCACTGTGCGCCCCAGGCTATATAGGAGACATATTTATAGCACACGTAATGCAATTAGCCAAGGAACAGGTGAAAATAAACTACGTTGCCTGTTACATTACAGGGATCATATTCAGTAATTTACACAACTTCAAAGAGTCTCAGTGCAAGGTATATTCCCCCCCTTCACAGAAAAAACCACACACTTCAGCATTTCACCCAGGCGTCCCATCCTGTAAACATTTATGGCAAGCAAATTGTGTGCCACAGTGAGGAGTCTCATGGAAATGACTGAATTCATTTTCAGAGTGGCAGTTTGCCCAGTACTGTTTCAAGGGTCAGGCCCTGTTTGTATTTTGCTACATACAATTAAAAGAACCCTATCTACTGTAAGTTCAACAAAGTATGCTAACATATTCCTTCCTGTATGTGCAGAAAATGTTTTTAGTAACTACTAACATGACCTGGTTTTTATATTCTCTTCAACCTTCTTGAAAGTTTTCCTGCTTTTACCATATGTGAAAATAATAAACACATATGATATACCAGTTATTAAGCCATCAAAAAATTACATGTCATTCCAGAAGGGACTGGAGACAATTGAGATTTACAAGTCAAGAGCTGGCCATTAACTTAAGTGTCCTGACTGATAAAAAGCTTCAGCTGCTCCACATTTCCTGTGGATCTGCAACTTCAGTGGGATGTTCCTGCATATTGTGATAAACCAGGCTGCTTCACATCTGAAACGACAACAGTATCTCAAGTTTATTATTCCAGGTAAGGTTGTTCAGGAACGTAAGAGTAGGCTGAAATGGGCGACACAGAGTAAATCCAACATGGGACAGTTGTCCGGGGCATTACCCTGCATCTGCACAAACAGAACCACCTCTGGGTTTAACATAGGCAAAATTGCATTCTGTGGCTCTAATTCAAGGGACAAAGAAGGTTATTTTGTCCTTACTACTGGCACCAGGAAAGCTCAGTTTGTACATCCTGGGGAAAGTGAGAATAGGCCAAAAACATCAAAGATGTTTTGCAAAAGGGTCTCTACCCATTTTTGGTCAAACAGATCTCTCCCAGTGGAGGACGATGGGACCCGTTCTATAGAGGGCCTTCATCCTACAGTGATGGTGGAAGGCTGGGCTTTGTCTGGGCCCAACATAGCTGCCTCTGTCCAGTCCATTCCACATATGCTGTGACACCTAGTTCCTTGGGCCATCTTTCTCCTCTACCTCCCTGCAGTACCCTGGTCACACCAGGCCCTTCCCACAGCCTACCCCTTTCCCACAGCCATGTCCTTATCCCACCCTCAGCACAGGACTCCATTTCCCCACAAATAAGAGAAGCAACTCCACGTGAGGTGGAGGTTGCGATGCCTGAGAAAGCTTTGTACATGAAGGAAAATGCAGAGCCCACATCACAACCAGTGGGTTTCAGAGGTGCTCTGACAGTCTCTGCCCTCGCACACATTAAAATACCACCCAACACCTGCCAGTTTTGCTTGTTAGCCACCAAGGATTTCAGGCTATAATAAACTACCTCAATGAAAGTGCTTGCTTCTGCGTGACATGGACTGGACACAGATTTTTCATGAAACTAAAGGAGCTGAACACTTCTGGGTACCAGATCCTGTTTTTATAGGTAACTGCCTTTAAAAATCTCTTACCTCTCACACAAACAAAAAGAAGATTCACCTAGGGAATTACAGCCAGGAAATGCTGAACC